AACCACCGGATTTCCTCTCATATGCCTGTTTTGATGGATCATTCAATGAAAACTCTTGCGCCTGCTTTGCATGCTCTGTCATTGGGCTCCGAACCTGTGCAGGAACGCCAATCTGTGCTTCCATTCGTCCAGCCTGAGGCGTTGGCGACAACAACGAAGGCGATGACAAAGTCGCCGACGAAGGCAAAACACCGGCAAAAAACGTCGAAAACCACATCACCCGACCAGAAAGGAAGTTGGCGATCATGCACTGAACCCCATAAGTCTGTGATAGTCATGTGGTGCTGGTCTTCAAAGCATGCATATGTGCATCGGGAAGGGCTGAGTGAGGAGATGGTGGATGGTGAAAAAATCTCATGAGGTTGAACCAAGGTTTGTCGTGGGCCAGACAAAGTCCCAGCAAAGATGGTCTCATCGCCCTTTTTTCAGCCACACAGCGACTCCAGGTTTCTGTTGGAATCTGCTGGACTTCTTGTCGAGCGGCAGGACAAAAGGATTTTCTCCATCTAGGTGGAGTTCTGCTCGAAGGGCTTCAGGCAAGGCCCATCTGCCTCCAAACTCGAGGATGGATATTGCGCGGTGCCCGGATGGCGTCCGCTTCATCATGGTCTTGCGACCGTTTCGCAGCTTGAACGTACTGCGATCAAGGTCAATGACTGCACCCACAAGTTCTTGGTACGACACTGGCAGCAGGAACGGTGTTTCAAAGCTTCCACTGTCCTCGATCTCGGTGGCTCGAATCAAACCGTTGGATCGGCAGACTCCAAGGGGATGTCCCAGATGCCAAGTATTTTGGCTGAGCCACCAATCCCAGAACAAGTCACCGTTGCTCCAGACGCGTAGGCCATGTCGTGCCAATGCTTGCGTCAGGCGTTGCATTGCTGAAGAACCAATCACTGCCTCTTCAGCTGCTGTGTCAACAACTGCTTCATGTCCATCTGTCCTGACTCCTGCAAGAACACTAATCGTCCGTTGAAGATCCGAAGCAATGTTCACAAATACCTGACTTGCATGACATGGGGTGTCCGGTGTGATAGTTCCATCCACGTCACTGCTTGCGACGGATTCCGGCGTGATAGCTGCTGCCCGACCTGACACAACAAAGGTCCTGTTGACTGTCCCCTGATTTCCTTGCACGACAAAGAACGACGATGACGGGTTGTCTCGTTTTGGACAGTCTTTGGATATGTGGTCAAGCTCATCACAACGGAAACAACGGGTCTTGGCCAAAAGATCACCTGGTGAACCTTTGTTCTGACGGTCAGGTTGGCGACCTTTGGAAAATGATCGTGACTTCCCAAAGCGTCCCTTTCCTCCACCTTTCTTGTTCCTTTGGGCTGAGTCCTTGGGTTTGAAGAACTGTCGGCCTTTTCGACGAGCTTGCAGGTCCTTGCGAACATCTCGATAGGCCGAATTGTATGCCCAAATGTACTGTGTCTCCTCCTCCGTGTATTCTCTGCTTGGATCAAACACCAAGTACGTCAAATTCCCTTCACCATCGGATTCCGGTTCATCCTCCTCAAACAACAACTCCTCTTCTTCCTCAAGGTCCTCATGCTCTCCTTCATGAAAAGCTTCTGACTGCTCTGTTGCTTCTGAGCGACCCATCAAAAAATGTTTTGCTTACCTTGCCAACCAATGCCTCCGGCCTGTCTAACGGCCTCAATGCTCTTGCAATCTGATCAAAGGTCAACAATGCATTGTACTTGATGGCTAAGTTCTCACGTTGTTGCTCCGACAGATTGGCACCCCTCAAAAGCACTCTGCCAGCGATTCGGGGCGGAACCTTCTCACCCAGCTGAGCCTCAAGCTCCTGCAGCGCAACCTCCTTCGCAGCGATGTAGTTGCTAAAGCTCTCCTGTCGAGACCTTTCAAAGCCATAGAAAAAATGATCAATGGCAGCCGGACCAATTGCTTCTAGAAAGGGTCCATACTTGGTCATGATCTCGGTGAGAATGGTGCCATACCCTTGTTCTGACAGAACAACTGAAAGGTCAACTGTCTCAGCGATCTTCCGAGGTGCACTCCCATCTGTAAAACTCTGCAACAACTTGATTCCCCAACGTGTCTTAGGAACATTGTTGTCCAACTCCCAATAACTCAACTGACGCAACCATGGTCGAAGAGTCTCAACACTTCCGTTCCAAGTGGGGATCGACTTCTTGTCACCGCTCAAGGCGGCAGTCAAGGCTTTCAGCATGAGTTCATTCTGTTGAGCTGGAGTGGATGGAGTTGTTTGTGAGGAAGGCATGGATCCATTAAAAGGCTTGCCAAACAACTCAAAAGCACTACCGACAGTCCTCGTTTGAGGTGGTGGGGATGCGTTTGCATCGAGGTGTTGAAGCCAGTTCCCGGCCAGTCCACTGCTACTTCCACCGAGAGGTGCTCCTGGAAAAGTACAACCTTGTGGCATAGCTCCTTGGGAGGTCGGTCCAAAAGCTGTTCCATTTCCTGGAGAGACTGAAAACATTGGGCTCATATTCGACTGAAGTCGACGGTCACCCGCAGCGCCTTGAACTGTGCCCCGGACGGATGACCCGGTGGCGGTGCCGTCAGGCGTCAAGGTCTGCGGTGCTCCTTGAGGCCCCCCCTGAGTACATAGGCTGGTGTGCAGCAAAAACCTGGCCACTACCCATCGACGGTTGTCCAACAGAAGTTGCAAACGACTGTGCACCCATGGGAGATTGGAAAGGCGGTTGCATGCTTTGATACCGACTCCACGGATCAAGACCAGCAGAACACCAGGGGTCCATGGCAAAGAGCGCTGGAGCGATCCCAACGCTCCGCTACCGCTGATTAGACCAATCAGTGGAAGCAGAACGAAGGGACCGACCAAGGAACTAGGATCTAACAAACCAATCACTGAGGAAAACACCGAGGTCTCGTTCGACTCTCTCGGTCGGCTAACATCTTTTCCAGTGCTCAAGGCGCCTAAGAGTTCGTGGCCGCGGAAGTGAAGGAAAGTGTACAAAGGCTCAACTTCGGTTCATCAGCCCCCCAAAGAATTCTGTTTCCTTCACTTCGGGTGTTTCTGGTGCCGACCTTCATGCGATGCTGTGACTGTTTTCCACGTTCTAGAACATCTGACTCTTCCTCGAGGGTCATGTGACCGGTTCGCAGCAAGCGCATGAGAGGTTCGGCATGACACCCTTGCACTTTTGTCAGTGCATCTGCTGGATTGAAGTTGTGAGGAATCCATCTGAGACGCGTCTGCGTCACTGCCAATGATTCTTTGATGATGGCAATCTCTAAAGTCGCCCGGTCATCTGTGCCACCCTGCGACTGGTCACTATTCAGTGAGTCGTACAGAGCTTTTGCATCCATCAAGGCGACTCCATGAGGGTCTTTGAAAGCTTCAACCTCCGCAGCTATGACCTTTGTCTTGCCAAAAGTCGCGAGCAGTTCGTCTTCGCTTCGTTGTTTTGACCTTGGGTTGAATCCAGAGTACCTGATGGACTCAAAGAAAGCCACCAAGCGCTCCATGGCGGCCGTCGCAGCTGGCATGCTGATGGCCTCACACAGCAAAGAAGAGGCTGCTTTGCGACGGAGGCGTCGTGACCTCCATTGCATCAAGCTCATCGGTGCACTGCGGCCTTGGTTGAAGTCGGGCGTTGTGAACCCAAGCAAGAACCCAAACTGAAACTTCTCTTGCCCCGACGTGTCGAACGCCGAGTCTGCCACCAGAAAGTGTCGAAGCTTTGACTCTTCTATGGCATAAATGCGAAGCGTCACCGGGCATGTTTTCAAATGCCTCACAATTTCGTTGGCCTCCACGAGGTGAGAAACCTTTGGACTCGGGAACGTCGATGCCAGGACGGAAGCCCCAGCGGCAGCATCTGGCCGAGCTTCTCTCGACACCCAGTTGAGCGATGCCAGAAGTCCCCTCAGTTGTGTCTTCTCATGTTCTGAGAGGTCAACTTGCGCGGCGTCTTTCTTGAGGATGCGCCGGTTCAGCTTCACTGGTTCCAATCT